AAACCGCTTAGAGAGGCCTGAAAGGCCTATGAAGCGGTATATAAGTCTACTGTTATTGCTATTATTATTGCTATTCTTCCATGCTAGCACCTACGCCCAACTGCTTCCAATCAGGTGCAAAGGTTTGGGAGACAAAAGATGACCTTGAGCTTCTAGGAAGGAATTTTTTATTTTGAAAACAACACATTCCACCCCTTGCTAAATCCCCCCACCCTTAATGAGAGTGTGGCAGGCCAAAGATTCTTAAAGGAACTGCTGCAGGCCTGACACATGTATAAGATAACAGATATAAGTGAAAACATGATTATGAATGCAGGAAATGGATACGAATAAATGGGGACGTTAGGACAGGGATGGTAGGCACGCTGGTGTGCTTATGCATGCCCCTTACCGACCTTTTAGGAATGGGGTGAGGTCAACAGTAGACAGTCTAAGGTTTAAGTTGTGGGGTTTTGGGGAAGAAACCATTCAGTCAAGTAACACATTCCAGGCGTTGACCACTCTGTTGCTGATGTCGTATTTTCTGCAATTGAGTTTGGCGTGGTTTACCTTGAGTTTGTATCGATTGTTTGCCCATGTATTATTGCAGTTGAAGCTGAGGTAGTCATTGACAGGTAGGACGTTGTAGGGGATAATTTTATGTACTACACTTAGGTCAGACCAAAGGTGGTGCAGTTCTAAGTTGTCTAAGCCCAAAATTTCAAGCCTGGTGGTATAAGGGATTTTATTGCAAGCGGAGGAGTGGAGGATTCTTCTCCTAAAATATCTCTAGACTCCCTCAATTGTATTAATGTCTGATATGCGGTGCAGATTCCAGTCAGATGAGCTGTATTCAAGAATTGGTCTAGCAAAAGTTTTGTATGCCCTAGTTTGCGGTTCAATATTACCGGAGAAGTTACGCAAGATTAGGTTAACAATCTTCCTTGCACAGATTTCACTGTTGATGCAGAGCATGCTGTGGGTGTGAAAAGAAGACAGAGACCCCAAGGGGTTTTGGCCAATTAGTCCAATATGGTCCACTCTTGGCTGACAATCATACAATAAAAGATCGATTTGTTCTTCAACAGCTGCTTTTCATTTCTTTTGACTGAATTGCTCTCTGGATTCTGTGCCCTTTGGCTGGTGAAATTCCAAGCAGGGGGTCACTGATGTTGTGTTTCCCCCCGCCTCTTTTTTCTTTTGCTACAGAGAGGGTGACTGGTGGGAGGCACGCTCCCTGACCACGGGAGCCACCGGCTACATCCCCAGCAATTACGTGGCTCCTGTGGACTCGATCCAAGCAGAAGAGTAAGCACAGGGGGCCAGGAAGCGGGTTGCAGGGACGTTGAGTGAAATCTGGCAGATGTACTGCATGCAGGCTGGGGGATTCTGGGAATTGAAGTCCACATGCCTTAAAGTTTGAGAAACGCTGACCCAGAGCTTCCCTTCCTCCTTCCCAGGTGGTACTTCGGGAAGATTGGCCGGAAGGATGCTGAGAGGCAGCTGTTGTGCCATGGCAACCCCCGGGGGACCTTCCTCATCCGCGAGAGCGAAACCACCAAAGGTACCACTGGGGTGTCAACCTGTTTCTCTTGCCTTTGGCAAGCCATTGGAGGACAGAACCATGTCCGGTGCTTCCAGGGGTGAAATTCCAAACCTTTCCCTACTGATTCTGTGGGCGTGGCTTGGTGGGGAGAGGGTGTCATGTGACTGGGTGCGCATGGCCAACTTTTTTTTTTTACTTTTAAAGCATTTTTAACTACCTCCCGAAAAAATGCTAAAAAAAGTTTTTAAAAAGTTCCAATCATCAGCTATGCGACAATCAGCTGTGCCGTGTGATCGTCGGATCTGAAGGTTCCCACTGTTTTCACCTAATTAAAAGTTTTTCCCCTTCCCCAGTCAGTCAGTCACATGGTCCAATCAAGGGGCCATCCGGTTGCCGGGTAAACGTCACTCCTCCTCTCTCTCTGACCAGGTGGGAGAATGTCCTTGGTTCACAGGAGAAGGTGTTGTGTCTGATGTGTCAATCAGGGCTGAGGATGATTCCAATTGGCTGAGTAATGGGGAGTGTTCAGGCAGGAAAAGTTCGTGTTCTCATTGGTTGCCGGTTGTATAAATAGCTGTCAAACTGGAGAATTCTGTTTTTTAGTTCATTCTAGTTCAACAGTTGTTGAATTGATCACTTGCCTCAGTCAGTTATTCCTCTGCTGGGAATACACAAAAGAAAGTATTTTGCTTTGGCTACAAACCCCCAGCTATCTGTATAGCCCCTTCCCTATCCCTCAGCTCCCATGGTAACATCGAAGCTTCAAAATGGCTTCTGTCAGGTCAGCTTCAGGGTTGACAAACAGCTTTTTTGGGTTAATTATAAGCCTATATCAGACCGAAGGGCACATGAGTAACTTCCAAGATTCTCTAAAATGTTGTCATCTTTGCTATATCACCATCTGTATTCTATTAACTGAGGTCCTCATTTGGGGAGGCAAGGAAGATGTTGACCATCCCAGTAAGGTTAAACTACAATCCCCAGCATGCCGTGCCGTTGGCCTCTCTGGCTGAAGCTTCTGAGAATTGGCGTTCAGTAATGATGCCAAAGTCAGGTGGCTTCCACCCAACCCATTTCTGCTTCCCATCTCCTTTTCCTAGGTGCCTACTCATTATCTATCCGGGATTGGGATGAGACGAAGGGAGACCACGTCAAGCATTACAAGATCCGGAAGCTGGACAGCGGCGGCTATTACATCACTACCCGGACCCAGTTTGAGACTGTGCAACATCTGGTGCAGCATTACAGAGGTAAAGAGTGATGGATCCAAAAGAGGGGCAAATGTTAAGGTTGGTATGAGAAAGATCAACATTTCAGCCTCTTAAGGTTATTCTGATAAGGAAACAGAGTCCACAAAAAGACTAGAACTAAGCCTTTTAGGACACATGGTGGCTCAGTGGCTAAGATGCTGAGCTTTTATTGATCAGAAGGTCAGCAGTTCAGCGGTTCGAATGCCTAGCGCCGCTTAACGGAGTGAGCTCCTGTTACTTGTCCCAGCTTCTGCCAACCTAGCAGTTTGAAAGCACGTAAAAATGCAAGTAGAAAAATAGGAACCACCTTTGGTGGGAAGGGAACAACATTCCGTGCACCTTCGGCATTTAGTCATGCCGGCCACATGATCACGGAGACGTCTTCGGACAGCGCTGGCTCTTTGGCTTTGAAATGGAGATGAGCATCGCCCCCTAGAGACGGAAGCAACTAGCACGCATATGCGGGGGAACCTTTAGTTTCAGTTTCAGTTTAATAAAATTTGTATGCCGCCCACTCCCATTGGGACTCTGGGCGGCTCACAAGCAAGATAAAAGCATTTTAAAAGTTAAGAAAAGCTACAATTATTAAAATTAATACAACATCCATCCAGTCTAAGTGGGGCTGGATATTAATCAACAGCCCCAGGCCTGCCGGAACAGCCAGGTATTGGTCGCTTTACAGAAGTCCGGGAGAGTGATA